GATGATGGAGGGATGGATGGAGGGATGAATGGATGATGGATGGATGGATGATGGAGGGATGGATGGATGGATGGATGGATGGATGATGAATGCATGGATGATGGATGCATGGATAATGGAGGGATGGATGATGGAGGGATGGATGATGGATGATGGATGATGGATGGATGATGGAGGGATGGATGATGGATGATGGATGGATGGATGATGGAGGGATGGATGATGGATGATGGATGCATGGATGATGGAGGGACGGATGATGGATGTTTTTGCTGTTACAACCTCCAGACTGCTCAGAAGCTTCATGGTGATGATTTAAGGGGTCTTTGTGCCCCTCCATGAGCACCCCTTCCCCAGCAGCACACCTCCAACCACCCAGGACCAGCTCCACAAGACGCAGTGGATGAGATGAAGACTCCTTAAACCCCTTATAGTGAAGCTGCTTGGCAGCCCCAGCACCCAACAAGCTCTGCTCTGTGACGGCGGCATCACAAGGACACGTGGTGCCCCAGATTGAACACCCAATAGCGCTGGGTTGGATGGTTCCTACCTGGCTCCTCGGCATGGGAGGCACCATCGGCATCCCCAAAACACTCATTCAGTGGCCATGGGGAGCTGGGTACCCCAAGATGAGCGCGCAGTGCCCATCCCCAGCATCCCCACCGGAACACGGCACCGTGACCCACCTCACTCGTCCGCTCTTCTCCTCGGATGGGCTGGAGCTGCTCGGGCTCTGCTCCTCTGGGGGCTGCTCCTCCTTGATGGGGTTCTTGGGGGCCCTGCTCTGGCTTGGGCGTCGCTGCGGCTCTGACTCACTGGGGAGAAGAGAGGGTTGGGATAGGAACCACGGATGGATGTGGGGGGGTACGGATGGGGTCGGCTATGGGATGCACAGTGGGATGGTTCCCTCATTTAAGCACCACAAGGACCTTGCTCCCATCCATCGAGGGCAGCAGGCTCAGAGCCTGGGATGATCCCAGTCCTTAGGCTCCTTCCCAGCAGCTCCCAGTGCTCCTCACCTGGCCGGGGACGGGTGGTAGCTCTCATCACGCAGGTCATCGGTGTAGGTCAGGTCATCGTCCTCAGCCAAGTCCTCATCTTCCTCCTCCTCCTCCTCCTCCTCCTCCTGGGGCTCAGGCCCCTGCTTCACCTCCTCCTCTGGGATGAGCGCGCTGCAGGAACACAGTGAGCAAGGAATGGGATAGAGGGGTCCAAGCTCCTTCCCTGGGGGGAGATTCCTCCATGGCATCACTCACCTCCCGTGGGCCTTCCCCGTGGTCCCTGTCTCTGCTGGCACCTGGGGCGCTGCAAGGAGATGATGGGGGCAGTAAACTGAAGCTGGGATGCTGGGAGAGGATGGGGAACGGAGCTGGAGGCGTTGGGAAGGACCCGGCCGGTGCCATCCATGCAGTTGGATGCTCAGGAAGGGACCTCTCCAACCCAAACCATTCTGTGACTCCACCGGATGAAGCCCAACCTCTTCTCAAGAACACGGCACCCCCAAAGCTTGGGGGGTGGCTTTCAGTGGGGCGTGGGACACCCCCGATGGATGGGACGGGGCAGAGCTCTAGGTTGGGGCAGCAAAGGGGCCGCGGCGCTCACCTGCACCAACGCCAGCGCCAGCTCCCGGCTCTTCCCCCTCTGCTCCGGGCTCCCCGGTCCCCCCGCGCCGCAGCGAGCGCCGGCGCCCGCTGCCCCCCGGCTTCCCCCCGGGCTCCTCGCTGCCGGGGGCCCCCCAGGAGAAGCTGTGCCCGGCCACGCACTCCCACACGAGCGGGGCCGCGCTGCCCGGCGCCGGCGCCTTCACGTCCGGGACGAAGCCGCACTCCTGGCCGTGGCCATGGGACAGCACCACGAGGCGCTGCAGGGCCTCGGCGTGGAGCAGGACGGGAGCCGGCTCGCCTGTGGGGCACCAGAGCAAGGGATGGGTGAGCACCAGCCCCAGGCTCTCCATGGGGTCTCTCTGCCTTCCCCCCTGAGGTTCCCACCTTCCTCAAGGAGTTCCCTCACAACCAGGCCTGGGAATGCCAAGACCCCCACTGCAGCCAAGCCCAGCACCGCAATGCAACGGGAACCTTCTCCCTTCACCATAAAGCTCTCCCAGACCCCATTAATGCTCAAGGCACCTACCCGGGCTCCAGACGCAGCCATGGGAGCTGTACCTGCAGTGGGAAGAGGGGCAATGAGCGGGGCTGACCCTTCCCACTGCCCATCCCAAGGGATGGCGGCGCCCAGCACGGACCTGTCCAGGAGGAACTGGGCGAGCTGGGAATGGAGGGCGAAGCCGAGCTGCTCCTTGAGGCGGCACCAGCGCTCCAGGTGCCCCCCGATGCGGATCCGGCACTTGCTGCGCCGCGCATCCAGCTCCCGGCGCTTCTGGCGGCGGATGCAGTCGGGAGCGCGCTGCCGGGTGGGACGGCCCGGATCCATCGGGAGCGGCTGCGGGACACAGGGGTCAGGGTGGGATACAGGGATGGGATAGAGGGATACAGGGATGGGATAGCTCCATGAGGGGATACAGAGGGATGGATGGGCAGTGGGCTACCGGGATGGGATAGATGGATACAGGGATGGGATAGCTCCATGGAGGGATGCAGAGGGATGGATGTGCAGTGGGATATGGGGACGGTCAGGGGATTATGGGGATGGGATAGAGGGATATAGGGATGGGAAAACTCCATGGAGGGATGCAGAGGGATGGATGGGCAGTGGGATATGGGGATGGGATAGAGGGATATGGGGATGGGATAGAGGGATACCGGGATGGGGCAGCTCCATGGGGGGATGCAGGAGGTTGGATGGATGGCGGATACAGGAATAGGACAGTGAGAAACGGAGGGAGCCCGGCTCCATGGGGAGGGTCTGGGGGGGTCATGCGGGGACATGGGAAAGAACCCCCCCCAGGCCACGCCCCCTGTAGCCCACCACCCCGCTTCGGCCACGCCCCCTCCCTTTAGCCCCGCCTCTCTCCTTCCCGCCATTTCTCCCCGCGGCCCCCCCACTGCCCCCTACTGCCCCCCCCGTCCGCCCGCCGCGGTCCCGTTCCCGCCGCCGGGCCTTAAAGCGGCCTCCTCAGCGGGGACGGCGGAACGGGCCGGGACGGGAAGAGAACGGAAGGGAAGGGGGGGGGGCCCAGGCCCTGTCCCGCTCCCCCGGCCCCGCAGCAGCCGTGCCCGCCGCCGCCCACCCTCCTCCGCGGGGCCGCGCTCCATCGCACCCCGCGGTGGCCCCACCCCGGGGCCGTGCCCCCTTTAAGAGCCAACGACACCACCCGCCCCCCCCATGGCTCACGCTGCTCAGGTACCGGGACAAGATGGCGGAGGCACCGCCTCCTTCCCCCGCGCATGCGCGTTGGGGTCGGGCCGCGGACCGGCGCTGGGTCGGGTTTTGGGGTGAAATATCCCCTTTTGGGGACATTTTTGGGGTGTTTCGAGCCCCCCCCCCCCCACCCCGAAGCTCGGGTTGGGTCCCGGTTGGGGTTGGTTTGGGGAAGGCAGAGCCGCGGTTACCCAGAGCCCCACAGCGCTGCCCTTCAGCCGGCCCTGGCCTGGCTAATAAATAACAGCAATAATGGTAATGATAAATAACGCTAATAACCAGAAATGGTAATAATGGTTATTGTGGTTAAGCTAAAGCCTTCAGTGCCGCGTTGAGGCAATGCAGCAGCATCAATGCAATCAGCAATAGAGCATCATCAGTACATTATTACAACATTATCGGTACCCCATTATTAACATAGTATTACCAATACAGCATTATCAATATGGCATAATCAATATAGAATTATCAATACCTCATTATTAACATAGCATTATCAATACAGCATTATCAATATAGCATAATCAATATAGAATTATCAATACCTCATTATTAACATAGTATTATCAATACAGCATTATCAATATGGCATAATCAATATAGAATTATCAATACCCCATTATTAACATGGTATTGTCAATACAGCATTATCAATATAGCATTATCAATACAGCCTTTATACCACATCATCAATAGAGTTTTATAAATGCAATACCATCAATCAGGATTAATACACCGTTATCAATACAGAATTAGTGCACCATTATGAATGCACCATTGTCAATACACCCTTATCAGTACACCATTATTAGTGCACCATTATTAGTGCACCATTATAATAGACCTTTATCAATACACCCTTATCAGTACTCCATTATTAGTGCACCATTATCAATAGACCCTTATCAATACACCATTATCAGTACACCGTTATTAGTGCACCATTATCAATACACCATTATTAGTGCAGCATTATTAGTGCACCATTATCAATAGACCCTTATCAATACAGCATTATCAGTACACCGTTATTAGTGCACCATTATCAATACACCATTATCAATACACCATTATTAGTGCAGCATTATTAGTGCACCATTATAATACACCCTTATCAATACACCATTATCAGTACACCATTATTAGTGCACCATTATCAATACACCATTATCAATACACCATTATCAATACACCGTTATCAATACACCGTTATCAATACACCATTATCAATACACCGTTATCAATACACCATTATCAATACACCGTTATCACTACACCGTTATCAATACACCATTATCAATACACCGTTATCAATACACCGTTATCAATACGCTGCTATCAATGCACTATTCTTAATGCAATGGGTGTCCCTGGGGTGCCCGCAAAGCCCCCTTCCCCTGGGGGCTGCTCCCTCCATTCCCCACGTCGGGAATGGGGCTCCTCGGCCCCAGCTCCTTCTTGTGCTGGGTCTTGGAATTCCCCTTGTGACCGGGAGCCTCCGCACTGCTCCCTTGGGAAGAGGCTGTGGGACGGGGGAGAACAGGAGGCCTTTGTGGGGAAAAATGCACCGTGGGACGTTCTGGGGCGCAGGAATTCCATGGGCACGGGAAGGGGAGGGAGCGGAGCTCAGGGGGGGAGCAGGAGCCTTTTAGGGAGCATCCCCAGGGTCGGGATGCGCCTCCATGGGCACCGGGATGGCAGGACCCGGCCGTGATGCAGGTGAGAAGCACCATCCCCTTTCCCAAAGGCTGCCCGGGATGGGATGGGATGGGATGGGATGGGATGGGATGGGATGGGATGGGATGGGATGGCAGACCGGGATGTGCTTTGGATGAGGCTCTTTGGGGGTGCTGGGGTGGGGATGGGGCTGAGGAGCAATGGAGCCAATGCAACCAAGCAGGGAAACGGAACCAGTGCTGGGTTCCTGAAGGTGGGAATGGTGCTTCCCTTCCTGCCATCAACCAGATGAAGGGGAGATGCTGCTTTTCCCTGGGATTCAGGTACCCAAAGTCATGGATTCCCTCCCGAATACCCTCACAATCAGCGACTCTTCACTTCCACAGGCGAGGACCAGGCTGCCCCAGTGATGCAGAGAGCAGGGCAAGGGACCAGTAAGCACCGGTCTCGTACTGGGAACATTGGTTTAGGGCTTGATGGTTGGGTTCAATGCGATGGGAGCAGCTCCGAGAGCTCGGAAAGGAGGATGGGAGGAAGGGCAAGGCTGCTTGCAGGGATGGAGCCCATTGCTTATGGAGGGGGTCCGAGGATGAGGACCCTCACCTGATCCTGTGCCTCTCCCAATGCTTTGTGGCTGGACTTAGGGGTGTCGAGGCACCCATGGGGGTGGATTTCGGGGTTGAGGCACCCATGGGGGTGGATTTCGGGGTTGAGGCACCCGTGGGGAGCTCTGGGAGCCTCCCCCATGGCGTTTTGTCCCCAGGTTTTAGCCTCAGGTGCATCAAGGACAAGAAGGTCCCCATTGGGGTCACTGTGGTGGTGGCCGCGCTGCTCCTGGCCATCATCGCGCTGGCGGGTGAGTGGCCGAGGATGAGGATGGGGGGATCCATCGCTGCCTCCCATGGGCAGCGCTCACCACCGCCTGTTCCCCCCCTGTTCCCAGTGAAGAAGTTCCCGTCCTGCCCCTCCTGCCCCGCTCCCGACCGCTCCCGCTGCCTGGAAAACGGGCTCGGGTACCGGCGGAAGTGCTTTTACTTCGTGGAGGACGAAGCGGAGTGGAACGGGAGCGAGCGCTTCTGCCTGTCCCTCGGAGCCCATTTGGCCGCTGTGGACGCATGGGAGGAGCTGGTAAAGGGGGGTCCTGGTGGATCGGGAGCTGTTGGGATTCACCCAACGGGGCAGAGCCTGAGGCTCGGCGTTAACCCCGGCAGCGTTTCCTCCTGCGCTACGGGGGCTCCCTGCACTACTGGATCGGGCTCCGGAGGGAAGGATCCGCTCCCTGGACGTGGGTCAATGGGACCCTCTTCAATGACTCGTACGTGCAGGCTCCTGCTGGGGACCAGGGGCTGGCGTGGGGCAGGGGTCGAAGGCAAGAAGGCACACACACACACATATATATGTATATAAAATATATAATATACAATTAATATACAACATAGAACACTTAATATATAAAATATATAATATGTAATTAATATATAACATAGAACACTTAATATATAAAATATAATATATCAAATATAATTAGTATATAATACATAATATAGAATATAATATGTTATAGTATATATAATTTATTATAATTTTCATATATACAATTATAATGCAGTATTATATAATATAAGCATGTCTATAAAAACATGCATATATATTATCTATAAATATGGATGTATTATATATATTTAATATATGATATATACTATATATAGGTTTTATATATATAGGATTTATATAAAAGGTTAGGGTTATATACATATTAATATACATATTTTCATATATTTATATATATATATATGATTATATATATTGTATCTATAATACATACATATTATACATGTGCATCTATAAAATATATATAATTACCTATACACATTTATAAATACAGCCCTAACTGTAATGAGGTGGGAGCAATCAGACGCTGCTTGGGCTGCAGCTCTTGGGCCACAGCCCTTGGGTTTGTGGTGCTGGGGCTTGAGGGCACAAAATCCCCTTGGAAAACCGAGCTCATTCCCCTCGTTGAGGAGCAGGAAGCAGCTTTCTCCTGCCCTGGGAATGGTGCTCCCTGCTCCTCTGTTGATCCCAATGGGACACGCAACCCATTGAGCTCTCCCTCTGCTCCGTGGGGCAGGTTCCAAGTCCGTGGCAGGGGACAGTGCGCCTTCATCGATGGGGATGGGATCAGCAGTGACTGGTGCTCCCTGAGGAAGTATTCGGTGTGCAGCCATCCCGAGGGCTGGAATCCCACCTGAAACCTGCAGCTGCTTCCGTGCTCTTGGTCCTCCGGTGGAGAAACGCAAGGGGATGGCATGGGAGACGATCCCGCCTTGGCCACGGAGCCCCTGGGATGTGCTTGGGGCATTGCCCGGCCCTGAGCCGTGTCCTGGTTTTCCAGCTGTGTTCCCAATACCTGTGTTTCTCTTCCCCACAGCCCTACATAGGAGCTACTTGGTCTAATAAATGCTGCTTCCATCCAACCCTGCTTCTTTTCCCTATGCACCGGGGTCCCATCACCAATGGGGCTTCTTCTCCCTGAAATTCCCATCCCCTTGCATTTGGATGGGTAATGGGAATGACTCCGTTGCCTTTCCCTCCCTTCTCATGGTGTAGAGACCGCCCAAATCACCCTGGCTTCATTTACACATGTTTGGGCATCAAATTTGGGCTCATTTTGCCCCATTTTGCCTTTGAAATCCCACTTGGGGCAGCCCAGGGGGGTGTTTGGGGTGAAATGAGGACAATTCCTCTCTTTTATAGTGAAACAAAACGTATTTATTCTATTGTGAGCACATTTATAACCCATCGCACACGAGGCAGCCTCAGAGTAGGAGCAGCACAAGGAGGGGGGAAATGAGCAGGAGCCCATTGATGCTGACAAAACCCCCTTTAACCCAAGCTATGGGCTCAAAGCTGCAGAAATCAGGGGGGGTTCATTCAGGTTGGGAGCACGAACAGAAACCTTCGGAGGGGCTGATTTTGGGTGGAAACCCCGAGTTTTCAGCTCGAAAGAAGCTCGGGGAAGCTCCATGAGGGAGTTTGGGATGGATTGAAGGGTGGTGGCTTTCAGAGGGTGTGAGCTGCACCCAAACCCCCCTGATGTAACCCAGTTATATAGAACCTGGAACGCATCGTACGGAGGTAGGACCATGGGCTGTAAGGGAGCTGGAATGTAAGAGCTGAGGAGCATCAGGGAGCGTTTCCAGGCATCACGAACCAACCCCATCAGCAACCGCCCCCTTGGCAGAGAGCCTGATGGTGGAGAGGAGCACGCAGAAGTAGGGGAACACCCTCTGCCCCCCGAAGGAGCCCACGGGGAAGCTGAAGACGCGCTGGCGGCTGCCCATGGCGTAGAAGGAGACTTCTCCCCCCTCGTAGTCCAGGTAGACCCCGATGCCCCCATTGCCCAGCGGGACGGAGGCGCTGGAGGGGGCCGTGAGGGCCACGCAGAGCTCCTCGCACCTCTGCAGCCCCCAGATGTGGGCGCTGGGCTTGAAGAGGACCCGGCCCTTCCTCTGCACCGACTCCAGGGCCACCCCCACGGCCCAGAACCGCCCCGTGGCCTCCAGCTCCCAGTAGTGGCGCCCCGAGGTGAAGCCCTCCTTGGCCAGCAGGCAGGGATCGGTGTCGAAGCGGGCCGGGGTGTCCGGTCGGTGGAGGCCGGGTCTACCCCAGGAGGCCTCCTTGAGGTCCTGGGACAGGATCACTTCAGGGCCTGCGGTGGCCGGGTCCAGGGTCACATCCACTGGGGGGAAAGGGGAGGAATCAGAAACAGCCCCGAAATCCCCTTCCAAGGTGTGTGGGGGGAAGGAGAAAGGGAAGAGATGGGGCTGGGGATGGAGGATCTTTAGGGGAGGTTGGATATGGGGACACCAAGAGATGGGGCTGGGGATGGAGGATCTTGGGGGGTTGGTTGGGGGGTGGGGTTGGGGTGGGGTTTTGGGGGTTGGTGGGGGGTGGGGTGGGGTGGGGTTTTGGGGGTTGGGTGGGGGGTGGGGTGGGGTGGGGTTTTGGGGGTTGGATGTGGGGACACCAAGAGATGGGGCTGGGGATGGAGGGGTGAATCTGAAGATCCTCCAATGGAGATCTCGATTGGTGCTACCCATAAACCATGAGGGACTGGGACTCTGCTCCTCTCCATCCCCTCCCGTTACCTTCAAACTGCTTTGCTGTGTTGTAATCCAGGGCGAGATCCCGCCTGCGTGGCCGTGGCTTGAGGAGGAACGACATCGCTCCCTCCACGTCCTGCCCTCCAAGAGGGAGCAGAACTCGGTTATGGCCCTCGGATGGGCCCGGCCCAGCCTTTCTGGGTGAGAAAACGGGTTCAAAAACTGCCTTTAACCAAAGTGCTTGAAGGAAAGCATCGGTTTTTACCCCGTGGCTGCAAAGGAGCCGTGCTCATCCATGGGAAGAGCCGGAGGTGGATTCAATCCCTTAACTCCATCAATGTGCGCTGGGGAGATAAAGGCGGGTGCGAGGGCCATGGAGGGTAATGGAGCCCCCAAGTGGTTGAATAAACCGCGCAGAGCTCCAAACTCCACTGGTTCCTCCTTCCCCGTGTTTCCCCTAGGAAAAGCAGCTTGGGGACGAGCAGCAGTGGGGCAAGGGTGGGAAAACACCCTTCAACGACGAGAAAAGCAGGAGATTTGCTGGTTCGCACCCAAATGTCCCCATTCGGTTGGGTATGGGTGGGCAGGGAGGAAAGAGAAACCACAACCAAGGAAAACACCTTTAAATCCAAAGCAAAGATCCCGAGGGCAAAGCAAGGATAAACCCGCTTCCATCCCTCATGGATGGGATGGGAGAGTGTTCAAAATCCCTTTCCCACCCCAAAATGAAGCTGCAGTGCTGGGAATTGCCCCATTCGAACCTTTTGTGTTGCTCTGAGGCTCCTCTGGCTGCTTTCCCACTTGGAATTCTCCCTCTTCTTGGGGTTTCCCCTCTCTTTGGCACCGGCTCCGCTCGGTCCCAGCTCTGCTTTTATCAGCTGAGGAGGGAGGAGAGCCCCAATCTCCCGCCTGCAGACGGGGCCATGACACATCCACGCGCCTCCTGCACCCTCCGATTGTGCCTTTTGTGCCCCATTTCAGGGCCTTTTCCTTCGTTGTTGATGATGGGAAGGGGATAAAAACCCAGCAGTGACAAAAATGTGCATGATTTAATTCATTTTTACCCCCAAATCTGGCTGCGGCCACTTGTGGGGACAGAACCGAGGCAAGGATGGACAAGGGTTAAACTGAAACGGGGAGATCAGGTTAGATGCAAGCTGAAGGAGGAGCTTTAAGGTCCCTTAAGCAGCTCCATGGTTCTATGGCTGCAGGACGGGGTGGCAAAGCCTGGCAATGGGATGAGCTGGAGGGGATAAAACACGTTTAAAGCCAGCCGTGGGCGAGGGAATTTGCCTCTTCCCACCCAGGAGCCGAGCATGGGAACAGCCCAGGGGTGGTTCGAGGACCAGCAACCAACATCCAGCCCAGAGGAAGCCACCTCAGTCACCTCCTGCTGCTGGAGAGGCCAAACCCTGCTCAGGACCAAGCAGCGATGGAGGAGCAGCCGCTTGCTGCAGCCACGGAGCGTTTGGGGAGACCCATTGAGGTCTATGAGGTGAGAGCATCCTCCCTGTGGTACCCATCAGGTTCCTTATGGGAGAAGCTTGAAGGGAGCTGATTCCTGCTTTCAGGAGGTGGCTTTTGGGGGGAGAATTTGCTTCTTCCCCCCTATAATTCAGGCTGTCAAAGGCAGGATTATACAAACAAGCTTCACGTTATGATTCCATTGGGGGGGGTGCACCCAGGAGAGGCTCCAGTCTCACCTGCGAGCTCTAAGGAAGGTGCTGGCGGAGCTTCTGGACTGGAGAATGAGTGAAGAGAAGCAGCGCACGGATTACCTGGTGAGGGGCCCCTCTTTGTTCCAGCAGCCAAACAGGTCCCTGGGTAGGCTCCCCCCCTCCCCAGAAACACGTGGGATCACCCCCATGCTGCTTCCCAGCGCCCGGCAAAGCCCCGGATCCGGTTGGAGCCGTTGGCACGGATCTGGGCAGGTTTGGTGGGCGCCGCCTCCATGCTCAGCTGCTTCCTTTTCATGGGGCCATGAACGTGGGGTTACCCCCCCCCACCACCACCACACGCATTTCCCAGGGGTTTTAGACTTCCAGGCTCCCCAACTTCCCAGTTTGGTTTTGGACTGGAAGTGGCAGCAGCAAAGGGAAAAGAAGGAAACGCATTGGATTCAGTGGTTATTTACCCCCTGGTCATTCCTTAACCACATCCCTGTCCTGGCCCCGGCCAAAGCACGCTGTCCTTTAGCTTGAAAGGGACAAATTCGGGTCTTGGGCTGGGTTCAAAGGGGGTTTTTGGTGCTTCTGCTCCGAGGCGAGGAGCGAGGCCGAGCGGGGCCGCATCAGGGCTGAGTTCGAGCGGCTGCGGCGGCTGCTGGTGGAGAAGGAGAGCGCGGCACTGGCCCGGCTGGCAGAGCTCGACGCTGCCTTTGAAGCTGCTCAGGAGGAGAAGTCGTCACGGGTGGCTGAGGGCATCGCACGGCTCCATGTGCTCATCGGGCAGCTGGAGGCCAAGCGCCTGCCTCAGGTGAGGCCTTGACCAAACCAGAAGTGCCCCCAAAGCAGTGCCTGGTGTGGGGAGTCCTCAACCCCCTTTTATCTCCCTTTTAGGACATCGGGAGCATCCTAAACAGGTACGTGGCACCTTCCCCGCACCTTTGTGACCCTGTTGAACATCCAGCTCCATCGTGCCTCTTCCCAGCTGGAATGAAATGAAGCTTCAGCTCCCATCCGGGCTCCCCACTGAACTGGAGAAGAGCCTGAGCTCCTGCCGGCACCAGCGGGATGCTCTCCGGGAGGCCCTGAAGGAGCTCAGAGGTATTCAGGGGGAGAATTCCATTATCTGGGGTTAATTTAGAGACACTGGGAGAGAAATTATGAACTACTTTGGCATTTCAGGAGGAAAAGGAGATGGTTTAAGGGGAGGCAGCAGGCCAAGGCCCACGCTCCCCTATCTTGCCTTCCTTCTTCCAGACAAGGGGAAATCTGAACCAAACCCAGGACCTGGGATCTTTCCCAGCAGAGAGAAAAAAGGTGACATGACTCTTCATGCCCCTTTCTTCCTGCCCCTACAACGGCCTCACCCTCGCACTGACCCACATGGTTTTCCCTGCAGCAAAAGCAACTGCAGATCCCAGCTGGGCTCCTCTCCCGCAGCTCCTGGCGGACAGGAAGACTGTGCGGTGGGATGAGGAGCAGAAAGGAGGGGAGCCCCAGCAGCTTTATACCTGAGCTGCTTAAGCTGCGTCAGAGCAGCTGCCCCACTGCTTTCGATGGAGCCGGGGCTTGTGGTGCTGCAAAGCCGCGACTCGCCGTTACGGTAATAAAACACATAAAACATGTATAGTTTAAAGCGTTTATTTTAGGCCTGGGTCGGCCGCCGCGGTTGAACGCAAGGTACCGAAACGCAAGTCCCACTCACTGGGAATACAGTGCGGACCTGGTTGAAAACTCCGCCCCCAGACACCCACGCCGCCTGCGTGCTTGCCGGACCTGATTGGGAACTGCGCCCGTCTCCACTGCTGGAAACGTCCTTTTCGGTTCCAGCTGTCGCTGCCCCCGCAGAGGCCGGAGTAATGGCGGGAGGGGTGATGGATCCGAGCCGCACCCGTCCTGCCCCTCGGTGCAGCTCTTTAAGAGACACGAGGCAGCACACACACAACCCCCAGCACAGCCCACCCAACACCGGCCCGCTTTCCCCTCGGTGCAGCTCTTTTGGTGACACAGGGCGGCGAGCACCCCGCATCACCCACTCGCCCGTGCACACCCTCGTCGGCGCCCCGCCTGTCCCTCGGAGCAGCTCTTTTACTGATGCGGGGCAGCGATTCCTCCACCCCCGGAGCGGCTTTTTTCGCCCCCCCATCTCTCACCCCTCGTGACCCTCTGCTGCGCCCGCTTGTCTCTACAGCTTGTAAGAGACACGAGCACACACACAACCCCCGGCGCAGCCCTTGTTTGTTGTTGGTGGTTTGTGTGGGGGTGGGGGTTTGTCTTTTTTCGCCCCCCCATCTCTCACCCCTCTGTGAACCCTCTGCTGCGCCCTACTTGTCTCTCGGTACAGCTGTGTAAGAGACACGAGGCAGCACACACACAACCCCCAGCACAGCCCACCCAACACCGGCCCGCTTTCCCCTCGGTGCAGCTCTTTTGGTGACACAGGGCGGCGAGCACCCCGCATCACCCACTCGCCCGTGCACACCCTCGTCGGCGCCCCGCCTGTCCCTCGGAGCAGCTCTTTGTGACACAGGGCGCCGATCACAATCACCCATCCTTCGGCGAACACCCCCCGCTGCGCCCCGCCTGTCCCTCGGTGCAGCTCTTTTACTGATGCGGGGCAGCGACTCCCCCGACCCCGGAGCTGCTTTTTATGCTGCCCCAGCCCATCTCGCACCTCTCAGTGCACAGCCTCTGCTGCGCCCCGCTTGTCTCACGGTACAGTACTGTAAGAGACACGCAGTACACACACACACAACCCCCGGCGCAGCCCTTCCACCACTACCCCGCTTTAACCTCGGTGTAGCTCTTTGGGTGACACAGGGCGGCGATCACAATCACCCATCCGTCCGTGCATACCCCCCGCTGCGCCCCGCCTATCCCTCGGTGCAGCTCTTTTACTGATGCGGGGCAGCGATTCCTCCTCCCCCGGAGCGGCTTTTTTCGACCCCCCAACTCTCACCCCTCTGTGAACCCTCTGCTGCGCCCTACTTGTCTCGGTACAGCTGTGTAAGACACACGATGAAGCACACACACAACCCCCAGCACAGCCCACGCACCACCGGCCCGCTTTCCCCTCGGTGCAGCTCTTCTGGTGACGCAGGGCAGCGAGCACCCCTCATCACCCCCCCCTCAGTGCACTCCCCCTGCTGCGCCCTGCCTGTCCCTCGGAGCAGCTCTTTTTGTGACACAGGGCAGCGATCACAATCACCCACACCTCGGTGCAGATCCCCCGCTGCGCCCCGCCTTACCCTCCGAGCAGCTTTTACTGATGCGGGGCAGCGATTCCTCCACCCCCGGAGCTGCTTTATATGCTGCCACCGCCAATCTCGCACCCCTCAGTGCACACTCTCTGCTGCGCCCCACCTGTCCCTCGGAGCAGCTCTTTTCGTGACACGGGGCACGAGACACAACCCACAGCGCAGCCCTTCCACCGCCGCCCCGCCTGTCCCTCGGAGCAGCTCTTTTAGCGGTGCGGGACTGCAGTCACCCCCAGCACAACCTGCCCTTCCCTAGGTACGCCCTTTAACACCACCTCCTTCCGCCAGTCCCTCGGAGCAGCTCTTTTACTGGTAAGAGGTGGCGATTCCTCCACCCCCGGAGCGACTTTTTATGCCGCCCCAGCCCATCCCGCACCTCTCAGTGCACATCCTCTGCTGCGCCCCGCTTGTCTCACAGTACAGCTCTGTAAGAAACACGCAGCACACACACTCGCAAACCCGGCGCAGCCCTTCCACCGCCTCCTTGCCTGTCCCTCGGTGCAGCTCTTTAGTGACGGGGCACCAGACACACAAACCCCGGCGCAGCCCCTCCACCACCACCCAGCTTTAACCTCGGTGTAGCTCTGGGTGACACAGGGCGGCGATCACAATCACCCACCCTTCGGTGCACACCCCGTGCTGCGCCCCGCCAGTCCCCCGGTGCAGCTCCTTTCGTGACACGGGGCACCAGACACAGAACCCCCGGCGCAGCCCTCCCACCGCCGCGCCCACATGCCCCTCGCTGCAGCTCTTCCAATGACGTGGGACCTCGACTACCCCTCATCACCCACCCCTCAATGCACACGCCCCGCTGCGCCCCGCCTATCCCTCGGTGCAGCTCTTTAATAGCAGTGCGGGTCACCAGACACAACCGCCGGTTCAGCCCTTCCCACCGCCGCCCCGCTTGTCCCTCGGAGCAGCTCTTTTACTGATGCGGGGCAGCGATCCCTCCACCCCCGGAGCTTTTTATGCTGCCCCAACCCATCTCGCACCTCTCAGTGCACACCCCCCCGCTGCGCCCCGCCTGTCCCTCGGTGAAGCTCGTTCAGTGACATGAGGCGGCGATCACAATCACCCACCCCTCGGTGCACACCCCGTGCTGCGCCCCGCCAGTCCCCCGGTGCAGCTCAGTGACACGGGGCACCAGACACAGGCCGCCTCCCCCCCCCCCCGCAGCCCTTTCACCGGCGCCCCGACAGTCCCTCGCTGCAGCCCCCTCAGTGTCACGGGGAACCTGAGACAACCCCCGCGGCGCAGCCCTTCCACCGCCGCCCCGCCGGTCCCTCGGTGCAGCTCTTTTACTGATGCGGGGCAGCGATTCCCCCAACCCCGGACCTGTTTTTTATGCTGCCCCAGCCCATCTCGCACGCCCCGCTACGCCCCGCCTGTCCCTCGGAGCAGCTCTTTCAGTGACATGAGGCGGCGATCTCAATCACTCACCCCTCGGTGCACACCCCGTGCTACACACCCCGCCTGGCCCTCGCTGCAGCTCTCAGCGGTGCGGGACTGCAGTCACCCCGGGCACAACCTGCCCTTCCCTAGGTGCGCCCTTCAACACCGCCTCTTTCCACCAGTCCCTCGGTGCAGCTCTTTTACTGATGAGGGGTGGCGATTCCTCCACCCCCGGATCGGCTTCCCCCCCCCCCATCTCTCACCCCTCTGAAACTCTCTGCTGCGCCCCACCTGTGTCTCGGTACAGCTGTGTAAGAGACACGAAGCAGCACACACACAACCCCCAGCACAGCCCACCCACCACCGGCCCGCTTTCCCCTCGGTGCAGCTCTTTTGGTGACATAGGCCGGCGAGCACCCCCTATCACCCACCCGCCCGTGCACACCCCCCGCTGCGCCCCGCCTGTCCCTCGGTGCAGCTCTTTTCCTCACACAGGACACCAGACACACAACCCCCCTCTCGCAGCCCTCCCACCGCTGCCCCGCCAGTCCCTCGGTGCAGCTCTTTTACTGATGCGGGGCAGCGATTCCCCCAACCCCGGACCTGTTTTTTATGCTGCCCCAGCCCATCTCGCACCCCCCGCTGCGCCCCGCCTGTCCCTCGGAGCAGCTCTTTTCGTGACACGGGGCACCAGACACAACCCACACCGCAGCCCTTCCACCGCCGCCCCGCCTGGCCCTCGGTGCAGCTCTTTCAGTGACATGAGGCGGCGATCACAATCACCCACCCCTCGGTGCACACCCCATGCTGCGCCCCGCCAGTCCCCCGGTGCAGCTCAGTGACACGGGGCACCAGACACAAGCCACCTCAGTCACCCCCCCCCCCGCAGCCCTTTCACCGCCGCCCCGACAGTTCCTCCCTGCAGCCCGCTCAGTGTCACGGGGAACCTGACACACCCCCCGCGGCGCAGCCCTTCCACCGCCGCCCCGCCGGTCCCTCGGTGCAGCTCTTTCAGTGACATGAGGCGGCGATCACAATCACCCACCCCTCGGTGCACACCCCGTGCTGCGCCCCGCCAGTCCCCCGGTGCAGCTCAGTGACACGGGGCACCAGACACAGGCCCCATCCCTCACCCCCCCCCCCCCCCCCGGAGCGCTTTCACCGCCGCCCCGACAGTTCCTCCCTGCAGCCCGCTCAGTGTCACGGGGAACCTGACACACCCCCCGGGCGCAGCCCTTCCACCGCCGCCCCGCCGGTCCCTCGGTGCAGCTCTTTTACTGATGCGGGGCAGCGATTCCCCCAACCCCGGACCTGTTTTTTATGCTGCCCCAGCCCATCTCGCACCCCCCGCTACGCCCCGCCTGTCCCTCGGAGCAGCTCTTTTCGTGACACGGGGCACCAGACACAGAACCCCCTGCGCAGCCCTTCCACCGCCGCCCCGCCTGTCCCTCGGTGCAGCTCTTTCAGTGACATGAGGCGGCGATCACAATCACCCACCCCTCGGTGCACACCCCATGCTGCCCCCCGCCAGTCCCCGGTGCAGCTCAGTGACACGGGGCACCAGACACAGGCCCCCTCCCTCACCCCCCCCCCCCCCCGCAGCCCTTTCACCGCCGCCCCGACAGTCCCTCGCTGCAGCCCGCTCAGTGTCACGGGGAACCTGACACACCCCCCGCGGCGCAGCCCTTCCACCGCCGCCCCGCCGGTCCCTCGGTGCAGCTCTTTTACTGATGCGGGGCAGCGATTCCCCCAACCCCGGACCTGTTTTTTATGCTGCCCCAGCCCATCTCGCACCCCCCGCTGCGCCCCGCCTGTCCCTCGGAGCAG